TATGCTAGTCTCGCGAGTTTGTTTATAGGAGCAAAGGAAGCAAAGTTTCCTTACTTTAGCAAAGGAAAACCAGTCTCCTCTTGGCTTATATCGAAATCCTCCGACATTTTTCTTTGCAAATCTTCGGTTTGTACTTCTAATTCATGACCGGCGTTTTGTTTTGTTGTCTCTCCGCAATTGTCACTTATCACGCAACGCCGACGTGCTACGTCATTCCCTGGAACAACTTCCGCATATGACAGTTGGCGGAAGTGATATAAAAGTGTTTATTACATTCGAAATACAAAAATGATAGAGCTTGGAATAGCCAGGACAATTTTTAATATAACTCCGACTGGATTCGTCTGAAAGAAGAAAGTCATATACACCTAGGATGCTTCGAGGGTGAGTAAAACACAAGCCAATTTTCATTTTTGGGTGAACTAACCCTTTAATTACTCACCCTCATGTTGTTTCACACTCATAAGACCTTAGTTCGTCTTCATGAAGATATTTTTGATGAATTGCAAAAGCTTTCTGTCCCTCCACTGGTAGCAATGCAACTTACACATTCAAGGTTCAGAACCGTAAGAAAGACATCAGAGTAATACATGTCACTCACTTCTGTGGTTTAACCTCAATTTTATGAAGTGATGTGAGTGCTTTGTGCAACACTATTTACCACCTATTTACAAAATAGTTTATCCAAAGTGCATTCATGTGACAGCGTCATCTCTTAACTGCGGTTACTGAAACCACCCCTTTCTTTCTTTGCGTGCACATTTGTGCGGCATTATGCTAATATTTCCACATGGTGAGGTAGATATGTGGGGGCGTGTTAGAATGAGCCGTTTTAGGGGGGCGTGGCAGAGTCTTAACTTTGATAAAGAATATCTCTTTGCTTTTGAGACTTTAGTCTTTGCAACTTCAGGGATCTTATCTATGCACAATCAGCTTGTAACACTCCAAAGAGAAAGGAAAACTTGAAATCGCATCATATGAGGACTGAAAAATCCGTCCCGCGCAGGTCTCTACTTTGCTGCCTCAGGCACTGGATGCCTTGACTGCATGCATGGCATTATGAAATCTGAAGACTACCAAAGAATTCTGGGGCGCAATGTAGAGCCCAGTGTCAGAAAGCTGGGTCTCCGTTTGAGGTCATGGGTCTTATAGCAGGACAATTACCCAAAGCACGTTTCAAAAGGCACCCAAAAATGGTTTAAGACAAAGCACTGGATAGTTCTGAAGTGGCCAGCAATGAGTCCAGATCTCAAAACAGCATTTGGGAGAAGAATCCCTTCAAATCTGAAAGGAGCAGTTGGCAAAAGAAGAGTGGTCTACAATTCCAGTAGAGAGCTGTACGAAACTCATTGATGGTTACAGGAAGTGATTGATTTCAGTTATTTTTTCCAACGGGTGTGCTACCAAATATTAAGTTGAGGGTGTCAATAATTTTGTCCATTTTTGGAGTTCTGTGTAGAATGTCAGATTTGG